TTTTGGAAGAGGGAGAGGAAAGAGGACTATTGTTTAGTCCTTCTTACGATCAGATGTTCCAAGAGAAAATGAATGGCGTTGACTTCATAGTCTTGGCTGGATTTAGAGAGTTGCATTTTGAAGAATTTCTAAAACTGTTTCAAAGTTGTTTTTCTAGGTATGGCGCCATCTGTATGTGATATCCTCTTCGCCAGTGGCGGGCAATTAACATCTGTAAATAATGTTACTGCCTAATAGCTGTGTCAACACGTAGTCACCGTCTTTGCCCGTCCACTCTGCAGACCAACAGTAGTGCAGCGGTAGGTGGATGTGTAGGTAGGCAGCAGGTGGAGTCGTTAATCACGTTGCATACAATATAAACAATGCAAATTATCGAAGCTTTGACTAGTAAGTCATCGTCATCCTCGTCACCATCATTGTCAACTTCCAATTTTCTTCATGCGATTGGCTCAGCTACATGTGTCACACTGCCAGAAATTGACTCTAAATAGCGTACATGTACGGACGATGATCAACGGAATCCAACTATTAGAATTTGTGAAAGTCGGAATTGGAATTCAAGTAAACCTAGCAGAGTGAGACAGACACAATAGCACGATAGTAAACACATAAACAAAGAAAACCGACAAATTCGTTCCTTGATATGGACTATGAAAGGAGTGGAACCTACGAAAGATAACTACCTCTACTAGACCGAGTCCAAAGCAATTAATTCCTTGTTTTTATCATAACAGTTGTTGCTAAAGCACTTCACTTTACTGTCTGTTGCCTTATTTGGCGCACTGTCAGGATAGAGTACTAATTTAGTGTAGCTAACTAGGATAATTAATGGCTAGTTTTGTAACGAGAGATTGCCTTATTTAATAATCATGTAAATAAACAAGCCTACCTGCCATTCATCCAATTTCAAGGAATTACAATGGGTCACTTTAAATTCAGATATTCCAGCTAGGCGTCAGCGTTAGAGATATCCCGGAGGCTGGAAAATACCACTGTCTTGTAGTTCTAGGGGATCTTATGTCTGTCAAAAAATATCGACAGACAGCGTGACAGAAATGTCACACATGTTGATGTGTACGATAATCATAATAGCAAACCGGTGTCATGACTCGGAATCGACACCACACACAACGACACCACCACAGACAGTACACAGAGGGCACATGGTATCATATGTTGTGAGCTGTGATTGCTTTCACCCACAGTTACCAGCTTCTACGCATACGGGCTTGACCAATGCTCGAATCCCATTTCCTTTGCAGTCTACTTGCTTTAGGTGATACTCACTTGTGTGCTGAGTTGTGTCGCCTTTTATACTATGTTCATCAGCTGCGTCCGTTTCATGTGAGGCACGTGTTCATGCACCTTCAGATCGGCATTCGTACTTTTCGCCCTCCACCATCGCTCTCCTGATTCGCCGTAACCGAATATGATCTACCATAAACATATGTAAATATATATAAAATAATACGGATAATAGTAATTTGTTTGTGTTAGCTTGAATGGAGGCAGGGACTGAACTGCTAACAGCACTGTTTGTCGTAAGCTGATCGCGCTTCTTAAGCACTTGGCCTAAAAACATACCTAATCACTGAAACACACAATGCCAGGTGATTTTACTGGTAGACAGCCTCACTTCTTTTAGGTTTGGCTTTACAAAGTAGCATATTTTGCGTGTTGAATAAGACAAGGCAGGGTACAGGCATTTGCATTGACATTACGATTAATTGCATTACACTTTGCCAACAATCAACTGTGGATCCTCCTATCCCATGTAAAATACAGGTACATGATGGTGTACAGTCTCTTTGCATTCGACAAGGTTTTCCAGCTCTATATACTTGCAAAAATTGTCATCAGGATGTATTAAAGGGAGTTCAAGATGAAACTACAAAAAAGGCATTGCTTGCAAAGGGAGCATTTGAGTGAATTTAGACAACTCATCTTAAGTTACGATTCTAATTTCTGCAGCACTAAAATAACGGGCATAACAAACCTGTTTGTATATCTATCTCGATTCTGTATGACTCTTCTCCCAACAGTCACTAATCTCTGTCTGGGAAAC